CCTCCAGTTGAAATCAAAATTTATTTGAGCGGTAAGTAAAAGAAATATATCAACAACTAAAAAATAATTAAGTACCCAATTTCTTCATTTACATAATAGAGAAAACAAATGCAACATATCTTACATAACTTAGATGTAAAAAAAAAAAAAGAAAAAAAAATTATTCATACAAATTGAACACATTAAACCATTAAACGTAAAAGGGTTTATACCAAAAAGAGATTTGATACAAGAAACTGACAACAATATAATAAATTAAAAGTTAACTACCATTTACAAAATGTCAAACTTGAATAATCTAATTTAATTTAATCTTCTTGCGACTTGACGAAAGCTCTCTTTGGATTAAGGACATGTTGTGCTTTCCAGATCATATCGAGCTGAGAGCACATTCCACAATACTAATTAGAATGCATGAAAATTGTCTGCTTAAGAATTTATCAGCACAAAAACAAAACAATTATAACGATTCAAATTTTAAAAAATCTCCGTCAAACATAAAGAAAAATGTGAGAATATAAATTTTACCTGACTGAAAATCCAACCTCCAAATTGCTCTTCCTCAATCTCCTGTTTCATTCTTGGTGATAGAGTGCTGAGTTTTTGGCTATATTTACAGGTGATTTAGGAGTGTTTGAGTACAACATGGAGTTGGGAGATTGAATTTGATTTTAACTGGGTTTATCAGTGTTGTATGGAATTAGGCTTTATAATATTAGAGTATGAATTTTAATGTAGAATTGTAATACGAATAGGAAAGTAGGAAACAATATATTCTATTAGGAATTGTATTACACTATTTTACAATAATAGAATAAGAATTTTAACATAGAATTATAGTATGAATAGGAAAGTAGAAAATAATATATTAAAATTTGAGGATTTTGAGCGGGAAGTTAAAGTTTAGGATTTTGTTTTTATATATAGTACAGATTACCGATTAAGTGAATTAGTGATCATTTTCTATTTTTTCTTTTTTACTCCCAACATTATAAGTGAATTATAAATCATTTTGTATTTTCCATATTATTATTATTATTATTATTATTATTATTATTACTTAATTATTAATTGTTAATTGTTTCGTTGGAAGAGTTTTAGCGGGAAAACACAGAGGATGATTTTGTTTTTAATAAAGGTATAGATTAAGTGAATTAGGGATTATGTTTCATTTTTATTTCCTTTTTTATTGTACAACAACATTTTATTTTTATTAAAATTGTATTTACCCCGTGTATTGCACGGGACAATATCTAGTTATAATAAAAGATATAAATAATTACTCCGTAATTTTTAACAAATAATAATCATACTAAATGGGCTAAGACCTTGTGGTATAATGGCACCAATGTTGCACTTTCATATGGGAGGGTGTAAGTTCGAGGCTTAGTGCACTTTTATATGGGAGGGTATGGGTTCGAGCCGCCCATATTTTAACCAGTTCAAAAGGAACAAAAAATATTTTTCGAGTAAAAAGTCGAAGAACATATTTTTTGTTAAAATGGGTCATTTTTCCTTTGACTGGAATGAATATTTTAAGTTAACTTCATTCTCGTTAATAGTCAAATAGGGAAAAATCTAAAAATGAATAAGGTTCAAATTAGCCACTGAACGTAACCTGAAAATGCAATTAGGTCCCTAAACAAAAAAAAAATACAATTAGGCCACTGAACACTCCAAAAACGTGCAATTAGGCCACTAAACACTCCAAATGTATGTAATTTCACTGGATAGCAGGTTACCATCAATTTTAGTAGGTTATCTGCTTACGTGGCAGCTGAGGTGGCATTTTTAATAATTTTTAAATAATTTTTAATAAATTTTAATAATAAATTTAAAAAAATTGAAAAAAATAAAAAATAAAAATAAAACGGCCACCCATCAGTTTTTAAATTTTTTTTTATTAAAATCTATTAAAAATTATTAAAAATGCCAAGTCAGCTGCCACGTAAGCAAGTAACCTGCTATAATTGATGATAACTTGTTATCAGGTGAAATTGCATACATTTAGAGTGTTCAATGACCTAATTGCATTTTTTTTCGTTTAGTGGCATAATTGCATTTTCAAGTTACATTCAGTGGCCAATTTGAACCTTATTCCATCTAAAAAATAACTTTTGAAAGTAATTTTCGAGTTTCTAAACGAACTTTTAATCAGGCAATGTGTGTATTATTACTAGTAACTAGTATTTTCACCCGTGCGATGCACGGAATTGAATTGTTGTAATATACTAAGAATATTTTAAATCGATATATAATTATTTAAGAGTTAATTTCACCGGTGGTCGCTTATAGGATTTCTATTACCATCATTAATTATCCATAATTTACCATAATTAAATAATTTGACCAATTATAAAGAGAGATTATTAAAAAATGCACGGGACAATTTTTTAAATAAAAAAATTTAAAAATTCATTAATAAAACATAAGGTTCTCATAGTTATTTCTTAGAAACTATTTAATAAAGCATTTTTTTTAGAAATTGGTGGGCCAAACCGCCTACGGCAGTTTGCGGTGGATATATCTCGAAAAAATACACAATTTCCAAAAATTATTTGTCCAAAACGGACAACCGAGTCAAAAGTGTTGCATTGCCGAACTTTCGAAACTTCACAGCTTTTACCCAGAATTCTTGTACGAATGGGAAAGAAGAAATCAATATATTTTATTGGGAAGAGAGATGTTTTAGGAATTGGGCGGGAAGTTAAAATTTCAAGATTTTGTTTTTATATATAGTATAGATTAGATGTGCAAAGAGAATTGTATTACACTATTTTATAATTTTAGAATAGAATTTTTACCCAGGGTTATTGTACGAATGTGAAAGTAGAAATAAAAATATATTTTATTGGGAAGAGATTTTTTAGGAAATGGGCGGAAAGTTAAAATTTCAGGATTTTGTTTTTATATATAGTATAGATTAGATGTGCAAAGAGAATTGTATTACACTATTTTATAATTTTAGAATAGAATTTTTACCCAGAGTTATTGTAGGAATGGGAAAGTAGAAATCAATATATTTTATTGGGAAGAGAGATTTTTTAGGAATTGGGCGGGAAGTTAAAATTTCAGGATTTTGTTTTTATATATAGTATAGATAGTATAGATAGTATAGATTAGATGTGCAAAGAGAATTGTATTACACTATTTTATAATTTTAGAATAGACTTTTTACCTAAAGTTATTGTAGGAATGGGAAAGTAGAAATCAATATATTTTATTGGGAAGAGAGATTTTTTAGGAATTGGGCGGAAGTTAAAATTTCAGGATTTTGTTTTTATATATAGTATAGATTAGATGTGCAAAGAGAATTATATTACACTATTTTATAATTTTAGAATAGAATTTTTACCCAGAATTATTGTACGAATGGGAAAGTAGAAATCAATAAATTTTATTGGGATGAGAGATTTTTTAGGAATTGGGCGGAAATTTAAAATTTCAGGATTTTGTTTTTATATATAGTATAGATTAGATGTGCAAAGAGAATTGTATTACACTATTTTATAATTTTAGAATAGAATTTTTACCCAGAGTTAATGTAGGAATGGGAAAGTAGAAAAATCAATATGTTTTATTGGGAAGAGAGATTTTTTCGGAATTGAGCGGGAAGTTAAAATTTCAGGATTTTGTTTTTATATATAGTATAGATAGATTTTAATAAGTTGTAATATTGGGCTAAAACATTCTTGCATTGTAGGTAAACATACGTGGTTGATAAATAAAATTAAAATATTATTATATACAGAATTATTTTCAATACAAATTGAGTTGTATGTAAATAATTTTGACAATATTTTCCTTTTCCGAGCGGGCACGACAAACTAATTGGCAAAGACGAGTAGACGACACATCGTTATACGTGTATGTACAGGACGGTTTAAATTGTAGAATGTACAAGTGTTGTATGTTGTGCTATAAATAGATAAATCATAATTCAATGGTACACGTATCTATCTTATGTATGTGATTGTGATGCTACTGCTATGCTGTTATCAAGCACCACAATGCAAACTAACAAAGATGACTTCCAAATGACAATAATAACAATCTATTTTTGAGTTAATTCCATTTTTGGTCTTAGATTTATAGGTGGCAGTCCATTTTTATTTATTTATTTATTTATCGGAACATCTACATTTGGTCCTAGTATTATTGTGACATTACCATTTGTTCTCCTCTATCAATAAAATCGTTGAAATGTCGTTAAATACAAATGCATTTCAATTCGGTCTTCAATTACGATTTTTTTCAAAAAAAATAAACATAAAATATAGCGGATTCAACTCACTTTGCATAAAAATGAACAAAATGTCTTTGTATTTAACGACATTTTAACGATTTTATTGACGGAAGACCAAAAATGGTCATGCCACAATAATATTAGGACCAATAAAAAAAAGACTAAAAGTGGACTGTCACCTATAAATATAATCTAGGACCAAAAATAGAATTAACTCATTTTTTTTTTTTATATAGTGAAAAAAGTTTTACATTTGTAATAAAGTTAATCACCATTTTGGTCCCTCAATTATTTTTTAATTGTCAATGTAGTGCCTAGTTTTAAATTTCAATTAATTTGATCATCGATTTTTTTAAAATTTCGTCAATTAAACCATTTCAGAGACCAAAATGGTGATTTTCATATTTTAAAAATTTCGTCAGGGTTTAATTGATGGAATTTTAAACAATTTGATAATCAAATATGTTGAAATTGAAAACTAGGAACTACACTGACAATTGGAAAACAATTGATGGACCAAAATGATGATTTTCCCATTCTAATAAGAATTATATACATGATTAAATTAAAAATTATAATAGTACAATAATTATATTTTTTTGAGTATACTACAATAATAATAATAATAATAATAATAATACAATAATTATATATTTAATCTATCAACTTCAAAATTTACGATGAGTAATGCTTTTGTTTTCTCCCAACTAACAGACCCAAAAATCAAACTATTAAACTGGCCTGGATCGGAAAAGATGGCAGGCATCACCATTCACCATGACATCATGAGACCGATCGACCAACCCTGTGTAACATGAAACATGTTTGTTAACATTGTGAGAGCCTGCAGGCCGGAGGAGGAAACATCCATCTTTCCATGAATACAAATTGCAAGAAGCCATCCTGGGAACAATATATAGATTTATATTATATATATAAATAAATGCGCATGCGCCGAGGAGAATCTCCCGCGCTGTGTCGATCAATTAACCTCGTACCATCCTTCCGACAATTCATAAAATTCATATTCATATGAAGACCCGAAACGTCAGAACCGGCAAACTTTCCCCTAGATGGATCCTCCTTTTATCCATCCTCAGCTTCGCCTCCGGCATGCTTTTTTCCACCAGGTACCTCTTCAATTCCTTCTCTGATGATTTTTCTCGCTCTCGCTATATAGTTCTTGTTAGTTGTTGTTTTTAATTTACGTGTATATTTATTTTCATGCAAATTAATTAATTATTATTATATATGCATTATTACTTTCTTGAAAGTGGCGAAATAATGAATCCTTCCTTTATAGAGTGTGGATTCCTCCTAAATTGAATGACGGCCGGATCATGTTTGGGCGGCGGGCTAGACAAGACAAGGTCGACGATTGCGACAACAAATTGAATCCTCAGGTCCAGCCCCGCCCTGCCCTAGCTTTTATATATATATAATTATATATATCCCTTAATTAGCTTTTTCTATTTTTGGTATTAATTTCCAAGTGTCTAATTTTATTCAGGACAAGGAGAGTGCAACTGGTGAACACAAGAAAGCATTTGAATCCATTGAGTGAGTATTATTAATTTAATTAAATCAAATCTCCGGCCTAGCTAATCTTCATTTCAAGCTATATATATATATATATATATAAGCTGTTTGGAGGATGGATATATATGATCAAAAGTTTGGTTTCCTTCTTCTTCTTTTTAATTTTTGATTCATGATTTTTAATGGAGATCGAAAATTTAATTAGTTGGGTGTATTGAAAAGGAAAATATATATATATATAATGCGAGCTTTAATTTACTGTTGTTTTTGTCAGAAACTCAGACAATTCAGTAGCTAAAATTCAAATGGAGCTGCCCTTGTCTAAGAATACGAGTATTTCTGACAATGTGGAAACATCTAAACGCTTGGCTGCTAATGTGAGTTCAAATAATTCTGAGGAAACCGAGAAGAGGAAGAAGAAGGCTTTTATGGTTATTGGGATAAACACGGCCTTCAGTAGCAGAAAGAGGCGCGATTCTCTTAGACAGACATGGGTGCCTCAAGGTACTACCTACCCACTTTGCTGCTGCTTTTATTTCATTTCATTTCATTTCATTTCGTGCTACCTATAACTCTCATCTTTTTTTTTTTTTTTTACTAGGTGAGAAGCTGCTTAAACTCGAAGAAGAAAAGGGAATTGTTGTTCGTTTTATGATAGGCCACAGGTATCTTTTATGTGTTATGTTCTTTGAACTTCAGCTTCATGAATCATGATGATATATGGAAAGGAAGTGGATGATGGTGGTGAAATGGATTGGGAAGTCTGTTATGATATTTTTTTAGCCATATATACTCTTTGATTTGATGAATGCAGTGCAACATCAAATAGCGTTTTAGATCAAGCAATTAATCTGGAAGAGACTCAGCATAAGGACGTTCTTAGGCTTGTAAGTCAGTCTTTAATTTGAAGAATATAATCATCCATTGCTGAAAATTATGGAATTTTCCATCACAAAGTGATCATAAAGTAAGTAGAAAGCCTTGTTCCGACTACTTTTGGTATCCGGAAAAACATTTGTTGCTATTTCCGACCACGTTTTACTTTCGACTTGATTTAAGATCACTTTCAGGTGGTCGGAAATTCAATAATTTCCAGCAGTGATCCAGTACTTGAGCGATTATTATTAATTTGTACGTACAACATAACCAACCAAGCTATCCTTCTCACTTAGCTTGTCTTGATCGTTTTTGCAGGCGCACATAGAAGGGTACCATGAGTTGTCTGCAAAGACAAAATCTTTCATTTCCACTGCCTTTGCAACATGGGATGCTGAGTTCTATGTCAAGGTTGATGATGATGTTCATGTCAACTTGGGTACGTACTATACTTCTGTGTTCCTTAATTTTATCTCCTCGTTATTTATAGCGATAACGATAACTCATCAGCTAATAACTATATAAAATTTTAGTTTAGAAACTAATTGTCAACTATTAATTTTTATGACATATATGGAAGGTACACTTGCTGCAACCCTTTCGCGGCACCGTCTGAAACCCAGGATATATACTGGATGTATGAAATCTGGACCAGTTCTTTACAGAAAGTACTTACTTTCATCTCAAACTTTACACTTCAAGTTCAAAATCTTCTGTTATATATATATATATATATATATATATATATATATATATATATATATATATATATATATATATATGAAGTAGCTAAGCTAAGCTAGTTCTCTTTTAATTTGGAGTATAGTTTGTAAATTTTCTATCTCTCACATTTTTTTATATGGTATGGTAGGAATGTGAAGTACCATGAACCTGAGTACTGGAAATTTGGAGATACTGGAAATAAGTACTTCCGACATGCAACTGGACAGATATATGCTATCTCTAACGATCTGGCCAAGTTCATTTCTGACAATGAGTACGAATGTGTATTGATATCTATTTTGTTTGTGTAGAATATATATAATATTGGAAATCAATCAGATATCTGAATAACATGAATTTAGGATGCATTATTTTTATATATGGTACGTACGTGTTTTCAGGCTTCTTCTGCATAAGTTTGCAAATGAAGATGTTTCACTTGGTGCATGGCTAATCGGGCTTGATATTGAGCACATTGATGATCGAAACATGTGCTGTGGAACTCCGCCAGGTAAATAATGAGATCACTACTTAGCTTCTCATGCATCATATATATATATATATATATATATATATATATATATATATATATATATATATATATCATCCATCCAAGAATTGAAATTGTATTTGGGAATGGAATTGTATTTGCAGAATGTGAATGGAAACTCCAATCTGGGAATACATGCGTTGCATCTTTTGATTGGAGCTGCAGTGGAATCTGCAAATCAGTTGATAATATAAAGCGAGTCCATGACAAGTGTGCTGAAAGCTCAGAAATTCTCGCAAATTTTTTATTCTGATCTGAGAATATAATGCTTGCTAGCTTCCATCTTACAAAGGTGATTCAGGAGGAAATCATGATATGAACTGTTTTTGCATCTCCGATCCACACAAAAGATAAGTAGTTGCAATGTTTATATGTAAGAAACATGCATGCCCCAGACTGTGAAATTATCCCCAATACTTCCTTAATTAGTTATATGGCGAAACAGATTTTCAAATCCAAATTTACAGCCAAAACATACAGTACGTTTAAACTTGAGCAGGCCGGTATATAAATGCAAGTTTAATTTGCAATATATAATCATTTCGTGTATAGGACAAGACGTCATTTTGTGTCTGTACACCTACTCTACTTTGAGCTCAATAAACTCATGTTCTTCTTGTTGTATATTTATTGATTTGTAAATCCTTAGTACGTGTTCATTGGTTTTTATGAATTATGATGTTTTTCTTTGTAATGCACAGGCTAGGACTCGATCTTTTCAATTTTCAATTGTAACATGCAATGAACTTAGGAAGAACAGAAGAATTTTGGGGTAGAGAATTTAGGGTTATGAATAGAAGAAATTGAGAGGAAACAGAATTGGATTGTTATTCAGCATGAGAAATCCCATTACAACCTTTCTTTAGTTAAATACTCAACAATAAGCAAAAACTAACTCCCCCAATACAGCGGGGTGCAAAACCAACGAAGCTAATGGAATGGAATCGAAACGACGTCGTTTGAACATAATCTAACTACTCTCAACGGTAAGTACTAAACGACGTTGTCTGTCTTTTAACTGGAAACGGGTTTAACTGTGATTGATCACACGACGTCGTATCAGCCTCCCCTCCCCCTTCTTGACTTATTCTCTGCAAGCAGTATTTCACTCCATCTTCCATCCTCTTGCCTTTCCTTCCTTTGCCATTATTGGCTCCTTCTACGGTCATAACAGCACCCCCACCTTCAGTTGATCCTTGTCCCCAAGGATCAAATGAGGGAAACGGGCTCTTGAGGTGATAATATTCCTCCCAGGTGGCTTCTTCAGGTGGCAGGTTGGCCCATTGGACCAGAATCTCAGTGACTGCCCTATTGTTTCTTTTCACAAGCCTCTTTCCCAGTACTGCTATAGGAGTTGCAAGCACTTGGCCCTCTTACCCAACAATCGGAGGATCAAGCTGGACACTAACTTTATCACCAATTCTTTTCTTGAGTTGAGAGACATGGTATACAAGATGTATCATAGTTCCTGGGGTAGGGACAGTTTGTAAGCTACACTCCCAATCTTTTCAATTACCTCATAAGGCCCATAGTATTTAGATGCCAATTTCAAATTTCTCCTCACAGCTAGGGTGATTTGTCTGTAAGGCTGGATTTTCAAGTAAACGCAATCCCCCACTGTTAATTCCCTCTGACTTCTGCCTTTGTTAGCGTGCATTTTCATTCTATTCTGAGCTTGCTTCAAGTTCTCTTTGAGACCTACCAAGACAACCTCCCTTGTGGCTACCCAATCCAGTTTTCCCCCTGGGGCAGCAGCTGCAAAACCCAACTGGGGTAGAGTGTAACCATACAAGGCCATGAAGGGAGTGTTTTTTAGGGCTGAGTGGTAATTGGTATTATACTACCACTCAACTAAATGTAACCATTTATCCCAGCTATTGGGTCTTTGGAAAACCATACATCTAAGATATCCATCAACACACTGGTTGACCTTCTCAGTCTGTCCATTTGACTGTGGATGATAGGCAGTAGATAAGTTTAATTTGACTTGCATACTCTTGAACAAGGGTTGCCAGAACTTGCTTGTGAACACCTTATCTCTGTCAGACACTATATCTCTGGGCAACCCATGTAATTTGTAAATGTTTTCCATGAACAATTCTGCTACTTTCTCAGCTGTATAAGGATGGCTAAGGCTGATAAAGTGACCATACTTGGTCAGTCTGTCTGTCTACTACCATGATCACTTCTTTAGTACCAGATTTTGGTAGCCTTTCTATGAAGTCCATAGACACACTTTGCCAAGCTCCATCAGGGATCTATAAGGGCTGCAAAAGGCCAGGATAAGCCACATTCTCACTCTTGCATCTCTGGCAAGTGTCACACCTCCTCACTAATTCCCTCACATCCTTCTTCATACCCTTCCAATAAAACAAGGCTTTAAGTCTATGGTGAGTGCCAGTTTGCCCTGCATGGCCCCCAATGGCAGATTAATGTAGTTGTAGCATCAAATTCATCCTTAAGTCACCTGCACTGCCTACATACAACCTGTTTTTGTACCTTATCAAGCCCCCAACCACAAATATATTGGAGTTAGAATTGGGACTAATTAATGTAGAGGCTAGATTATCAGCAGCCCAACTGTCATACTCATAACTTTTGATAATATCCCCCTTCCATTGTGGTTGAGCAACTGAGATGGCATGGCAGGTTTCCTCACCATTTTCTCTCCTAGAAAGGGCATCAACAGCCATGTTGTCAGTCCCCCTTTTGTACTGGATTGAATAGTCCAAACGTAAGAGTTTGGTCAAACCCTTCTCTTATAGGGCAGTTGTAATTTTCTGTTCCAAAAGAAATTGCAGGCTATGGTGGTCAGTCCTGATAGTGAAATGTCTTCCCATGAGATATGTCCTCCATTTGTCAACAACATTGATAATGGCCTGGATAGGTACTCCTCATATATAGAAAGCCCAAAATGTTTCTACCCAAAGGCCTTGCTAAAGAAGGCTACTAGTCTTCCCTCTTGCATTAGGACATCCCCATCCCTTTATGACTGGCACCAGCCTCAATCACAAACTCTTTCTAGAAGTCTGGCAAGGCTAAGACAGGAGAGTGACACAATGCATGCTACAACTGTTCAAAGGTTGTTTCTGGTGCTTCAGTCTAGTAAAAGCCATCTTTCTTTAACATGTCTGATAATGGTTTACTTATGACTCTAAAGGCTTTAATAAACCTCCTATAGTACCCAGCTAGCCCCAAAAATCCTCTTAGTGCTTTCACAGTCAAGGGCTTAGGCCAAGCTGCTACTGCATCCAACTTGGCTGGATCAGTCTGTAAACCCTCCTGAGAGATTATGTGCCCCAAATACTCCACCTATGGTTGTGCAAAGAAGTACTTACTTAGCTTGGCATATAGTTGATGCTGCTGCATGATACTTAGGACCTCTCTTAGGTGCTGCCTATGGTCCTTCAAACTGTGACTGTACACCAGAATGTCATCAAAGAATACTAAGATTGTCTTCCTTTATATTGATTTAAATACTAAATTCATGAGTGCTTGGAAGGTTGCTGGGGCATTGGTGAGCCCAAATGGCATCACCCTGAACTCATACAAGCCTTGATGAGTTCTAAAAGCTGTCTTGTATTCCTCCCCTACCTTCATCCTTACTTGATGGTAACCAAACCTAAGATCCAATTTAGAAAAACAAGCAACTCTAGCCAATTCTGAAAAGAGATCTTCCACCAGGGGTATTGGAAACTTGTTTTTCACAGTGATGTCATTGAGTGCCTTATAATCAATGCAAAACCTCCAAGTATTGTCTTTCTTGAGAACTAACAATACTGGAGAGGCAAAACAGGAGGTACAGGGGGGGGGGGGGGTAATGATCCCAGCTGAGAGCATCTCATCTATCATCCTTTCAATAGTAATATTTTGAGTGTAGGAGTACCTATAGGGCCCTATGTTGACAGGCTTAGCCCCAGGTACTAAGGGAATTGTATGATCAAGGGTTCTGGGAGGGGGTAAGGATGATGGTTCTTGAAACAATTCCTTGAATTCCTGTAATAGTTGTGGCAGCTCAGGTGGTGTTGATTGTGTTTCAGTATGGTAGTAGGTAGGGAACTCAACAGATGGTAAGGGGGGCAATACACTACCTTGGATCCAAATCCCTGAACTCTTCCTTTCTGCCACTTCTTAATCTGCTTATCCCCAACTGCTTTCAATAAGATTCTCTTAGTAAGTTCTTTTAGACCTTCATCCCTTCTTTGTGGAATGAAATGCCAAGTGGCCTGGTGTGAAGTTGGATTGGGGTAAACTAATCCACCCAATCCATCCCCAATACCATGCCACACACCCCCCCCCCCCAACTTAAGTAGCCTAAAATCCTTCACAAATTGTTCTTGTTAAATCTGCCAGCATAAACCTTGGCAAACTGAGTCACCCACAACCTTTTCCCCATTAGCAATTGTCACCATCAATGGAGTTGTTCTCATAGGTTCATTCCTTAGCTGGTATAGTAGGTTAGGGTCCATAAAGCTATGGGTACTCCCATTGTCAACCAAAACGACCATTGCCTGCTTCTGTATATTGCATAGGAGTTTTATGGTGTTTAAGCCTTCCCCTCCTACCACAGCACACAAAGTCACCTCAGCCTCTTCTATGACCTGTTCCTCTCCTTGTTCCATACTGGCAGGGGCATCAGGATATTCTTCCCCTTCAATGATATTGAATGTTGGGCCCTGGCTGCCAAGGGTCAAAACACCTAAACCATCTTTTTTTTTTGTTCCCTTAATTGGTTTATGAACTGAGCAATATCAGGGGCTCTAGAGGTAAAGGTCTGGGAGGTGGTGGCTGGTTTTGGGAAACTGTTTGCAGTAGTGTTATTTGGGAAACTGTTTGTAGTTGGGTTATTTGAGTGGGAGCTGTTATTCGGTGAGGGTGGCAATATGGATTGGTGTGGATTAAGGTTGTTTCTGGGGTTTTCTAGAGTCTTGGGGTTCCAAGAAGTGGCTCTGGTATTTTCCTAAGGTCTAAATCCCTTTTCATACTGCCTGGCTAGCCAAATAGCATCATCCAGTCCACTAGGCTTAGTTGTTCTTACCAAATATCTGAGTTGCTACTTTAGTCTAGCAATATAATTATCCATGGAGTAGGTTTCAGTTAAGTAAGGGTGAACCTGCAATAGTAAGCTTCTATACCCTTCAAATTATTCAGTAAAGTCATCCACTCCCCCCCCCCCCCCCACTGTTTTAAGGCAGCAAAATCCTCCATCAATGAGGCCTCATTGTCACCAAACCTCTTGCATACGACCTTAGCAAATTCTACCCAATTAAAACCTTCCCTAAGGCTGTGAGCAAAGCTATCAAACCATGTTCCTACCTTCCCAGTTAGGTGCACATATAATAGGTTAAGGATCTCACATCTAGGGACATGAGAGAGTATGAAATTTTTTTCACACCTTAGTATCCATTGCCTAGGATTAGTGTAATCAAATGAGGGGAATTCGCTCTTGTACCTCATAAGGAACTCTAGGTGTTACGCAGCCAACTCTTGCCGATTACCTTCCCTTCTAGGGGTCTAATCCCTTAGCATCTTGTCAACTGGATCCAGGATTCTGGGGGTTTTTGTTCTGGGATCTGCTTCATCATCATCCTCATTCTGCACAGGGGCCTTGTCTGGTCTTCCCC